ACAAGTTCTTTTTTTTTTTTCATTTCTCTATTTTATCGGATAACCTATAACTGAACCGATAAAACCTTTGTATTTTCGGTTTGAAACCGAACCGAACCGTAGTTTTCGATTTCAATAGTAGACAAACCGAATTTTCGGTCGATTAACCGAAAATTCGGTCGTTCGGTTCGTTTTTGACCGAATGTGCAGCCCTAGATTCGAGTCACGAATAGGTGAGGTGAAAACACTTTTAATCTTTCTTTAAAAAAAAGTCGCATAACGACCACCATTTGATTATAAACATAATATAAATAGGATAAAAATAAAAAAAGAAATTTGGGCCATAACTACTCCACTCGGCCCAACAAGTCCATTAAGCAAGCCTGCATTAAGTCTTGGGACTGTTCTTCACACATAGGCCCGAGCCACTTTAGTCCCCTTTTCCTTCTTGGAATAATTACGCTCCTCATCACTCAGTTTTGTTATGGAGCTTATGCAGTACAATAAATGCACGACAAGTGTATACATTAAATGATGGATGACTCTATAAAAAAATCATCTGATGACTCTATAGAATTTCTGCCTCATTACTTGTGTTTTATTTCTAGATAGGAATGTTACCACAATTTTTTTGATATATTTTAACTCAATTGATTTACTTTTATGCTATTATTTTTACTAGTGAGAATCCCGTTTTTAGAACTTTTTTTTTTAAATTTTATTTTCATAATATATTAGCATGCTGACTTGTTTATATTATTATAAATAATATTTTAACATATATATTTATTTTTTAATACAAAATAATAATAATTTTACATATTTTGGTTCATCATAATACTCAATTATTAATCTATCAAAAAATCTATTATCATATAATGTCATTATTATTTATAACACTTGCAGAAGTAATACATTTGCTAGTAAGTTGTTGGTGCTTTTATTGGTTAGTTTATTGATTAAGAAAACCATCCGAGTTGGATTTGCCCCATGTTCTTCATCTGATTCCCGTTGATTTTGTATGGAATTGAAATGATATTGTACACCATCTTGGAGGGTGTGATGTGGTATCAAGAATTGGCTTGATTGATAAGAAACTGAGTTCGCCATTTTTGAAAGGCTATCCATAGGGCAAGTGAACTTGTTGAACTTGTAGATTCATTAACAAATAATGTAATACTAGTACAACACCCGTGTATTACACGGGTGCTTGTTAAAAAAATATTCTTAAATTTTAAAATTAATGAGAAAAATTATTCTAAATTTTATTTAATTTTTTATAAAAAAAATATATATTATTATATATTTTAGAATGACACTTGTTACTTGTGCGACTTACATGTGTTATATTATAGTAATTTTTGTAACTTATATCATATAACTACTTGAAATATAAATATATTAATTGATAAATAAACTTTTTTTAATTAATATTATAAAAAAAATTATTATTATTATTATCAAGATAAATATAATTTAATTTTTATACATACGATATGGATGTTAAATCGGAGTTCATCAAGAGATGATTAATTTGATATATTATATATATAAAATTGATAAAAAAAAAATAAAAAGTTATTAACTTTTAAAATACATTTACAATTCAATAGTTATAATAAGAAATGATATTAAAATGCAATTAATACATATAACATGACCATAAATAATCAACAATTGATGGATAATCCGAACCTAATTATCTTGGATTTGAAGTAAATTAAGATCTACCCAAGCCTAATAACGAAGCATGTAATTTTGCCACATAGGATCCCGAAGCATGCGAGCCTGCCACTTAGACTCAGCACATTTTGAATTAATATATAGGGGGAATATAGGGGGATTGTACGCATAATACGCAATCAAAATCTCGGCATATTTGAAAAAGTACATAACGAAAGTTTTAAAAAGTCTCTAATAAAAATTGTCTAAAAATTCTACAAAATCCATCAAAGTCATAAAAGTTGTATAAAGTTCACCTATGTCACACGTTAAAAAGTTCTAAAAATTAAAATCTTAATTGAATATAGTCCCTTCACTTGAACTCTACTAGTATTCGATCATGTACACATAGACAAATGTAAATAAAATATTTTATGTAATAATATATTTATTATATTTAAAAAATTATGAGTATATCACATTTTATAAATTTAATCATTAGTAAAAATGAATAATATAATTATAAAATATCTTACTTATATATGGATCACTCCATAGATTGCATACAATTTAATGAATAATATAGTTTTTACATGATAACAAATTCATTAATTGTTCAAAAATGATAAAAAAAAAAATAGCAATTGTTCAAAAATTATAACTAATATTATTATAGCAATTGTTCAAAAATGATAAGAAAATAGTTATATATATTTACTCTATGTTATTATTATTTAAAAATTTATTACTATGATAAAAATAAAAGGATAATATCAATTTTAAAATAAATAGTTTGAAGAAAAAGTTTTGCTACAAAATATTTTTAAAAATGTGTAGCTTCATAAAACTTTTGAACTTGTAATTAGCTAATATTAAAAGTAATTATTATACAATAAAAATATTGGGAAATAATACGGTCCCATTACGGAACCGTAATATTAGATCATCATGTAACCGTCAGGAACAGTTGATCTAACGGTTACAAACTCCGACGGAATAGTTCTGTAATGGGACCGTAGCATCTCCCAAAAATATTATTACATTTAGTTAAAATGAAATTACTTAAATGAACAAAAAACAAAAAAGAGCAGAAAAATTATAAATAACATTAATTTAAAGTACACAATTATATACACAGATTTATTGCCACTACGATGTCGTTTAGACAATTTAGTCACTGCAACTGTCTTAAACCCTTCTTGCACCCAAAACCATTCGAAACACTTCAAACGCATTATTATGAGGTAAACAAACGATTCTTATAATCATTCTCATAGTAATATTGTGGAAAAGAGAGAAAAAGATGTCATCTTTGATATTGCGAAGATCATGGAACATTAGATCACCTCACACCCGGACCCGTTTGTTCCTCCGTTTACTGTCATCTTCAGCCGATTCCCAATTTCAATGCGCCCCAGTTACCGGTCATAGCCAGTCAGTTTCAGCTCCTGTTCATGCATCTTGGGCTAAGAAAAATGACCGGTCATTTTCGCATTGTAATGGCCACTGGAATATCTCCCGTGGGCTACGGTTCTTGAGCTCACAGGCTGCTGCTGCTGAGGCCGCATCCACTTGTGATGGGCTGACGGTGGAGGGGATTATTGCCAATAATTGGGTGATTTATGATGAGAATGAGAGTGATTGGAAGAGTCACGCCTCCGCCATTGCTCAGTCCATTCACCTCATCAAGAAACGCTTAAGAGTATCTCTTATGATTTTATCCATTTTTAGTTATATCTGAGTTTTTCATTATTTTTTTGTGAATTGAATTTTTATTTGGGTGCTATATTCGGTTGTAGTTTAGCCAAGTACCCTATATTTGGGATGAGCATATATTCTATTATCCCTAATGACATTTTTTTTTTTTTTGGATTCTGCTTGTTTCTTGATCTCAATGAGAACATTGCAGGTTGAGCTTACTACTCAAACGGGCTTTCCTTTAACTTTTTCATGTTTCCTAATTCTAATATTGGAGAATAGGTACCGAAAATATGAAAATACTACTTATGGTTCGGAAGGAATTACACGTGAATCTTTTCAAGTATTAAGCGCTCCACTGTTATGTGATTGATTTTCTACTGCAATTGATTTAGGTTCGGTAAAGAGATTCCTCAGTGAAAGCTGACATTTCTGTATTTGTTATCTGGTGACAGTGGAAAAAATTAATGCCAAAGTTGGAATTACTCTCAGAACAGTTAGATAAGCCAGACCTATGGGATGATCCTGCACGCGCAGGAATGATAAGCCGCGAACATGGTTCAATTATGGGCAAAATGAAAGAGGTTAATGCTTTCGAGCAAGAACTGTTGGAACATATTGATATGATAAAGCTGGCTCGTGAAGATAATGATGCAGAACTGGAATCGGTGGGGGCCTCAAAATTTTCTCTTTCTAGGCACGTATAACTAATTTTCAGTGAGATGTATTTTTGAAATTAGGTTTTATGAATATTTAATTCTTTAATTGTGAAGCATGGTTCTTCCAAATACTAATTCTACCGCATAGAGGCATTTTTCTAATAAAATAGCCTGAATGGGGGTTGTAATATTACTTGTAGAATGCATAAATGGAATAGCCGTAGTATGTTTACTATTGCAGTCATATGGTCATGTGAGATAAAATTTTCGAATAGGCAATTGTGTGCTAATACTTCAAAAGAGTTTGTTTGGTTCTTCATGTAGCAATGCAGCTTGGTAAGTTAATATGCCACTTTTAGCATTCATAATAAATATAATCTCGCAAACCCTTTTGTGGATCGGATTTATCTTCTAAGCAGATGATGGCTCGACCTTTGAGTTTAACGGTATCTTGTTTTAATTATTACTTCAATCTCAGGACTCAATGAAAGCTCTTCTTGAACTGAGAAGGCGCATCAAAGAAAAAGAGCTTGAAGCTTTGTTGGCTGGCGAGCATGACTCTTGCTCTTGCTTCATAGAGGTAAAACGTGTTACTTTTTAATCTCTTATTGTGATATCTACCATTTTACATGAAAGTTTTCTTGTGGATTTGTTTCTGTCTTATTCTACATTCTCGCTTATAATGATAATAACTAAAGACGAGAGAATCTGAAAATCAGGGCAGTTGAAGTTACAATTTCTCTTAACTGTAGGTTCAAGCTGGAGCTGGTGGTACTGAGAGTATGGACTGGGCTTCAATGGTGATGCAGATGTACAAAAAGTGGGCCGAAGGTCGGGGCTTTGGAGTTACTGTTGTAGATGAAATGCCTGGCGATATTGCTGGAATCAAGGTTTGGGACCGTTGTCTAACTTGTTATGATAAACTGTAGTTTATACAACGTATGTGCCTGGAATCTCCTATTGTATGGTGATTTGCACAACTAATTTTATCAGAAAGCATTTACTTTATTTGATGTATCTACTAGTTTCCTTCTGTTTCAAACTGTTATTTTCAACAATGATACTATTATTTGGGAAACACATTATGTGTTTGTATAATTATTCTTAAATCATATTAAAATGAATTCAGTTACAACTATAGTACGAAAATCTCATTAGTTGTGGTCCAAAAATATATCCAGTTGGCAAATTATGCTCGGCTTATCAGTAATTTTTCTTTATTTGTGCCCACATGCTGTATACATTGTTCGATTTTAGCGAGCCACTATCAAAGTTGACGGGGAATATGCATTTGGATATTCAAAAGCAGAAGTGGGTGCGCATCGTTTAGTTCGTATCTCGCCATTTGACAGCAACAAGCGGAGGCACACATCATTTGCCTCTGTGGCTGTAATCCCGATTCTTGGGGATGGATTTTCTCGTGTTCAGATAAACGAATCTGATCTAAAGATTGAGAGGTTTCGAGCTGGGGGCGCCGGGGGTCAGCATGTGAATACCACCGAGAGTGCTGTGCGGATCACTCACATTCCCACTGGAGTAACCGCCACTTGTCAAAACGAGAGGTATTGGACATTGTCTGATTCAGAAACACATTAAAGAGACGAATTAAAGAAAAATACACCACCTGTCTTTTAAAAATTGCAAAGTTTCATATATTCATGTGATTTTGAAAGATGGTTAGAATTTTTGTAATTAGGCTAAACCTCGAGGGCATCTTTTGTAAAACAAGAGAATTTGTGGTTACAGGTCACAGCATCAGAACAAGGCGTCTGCCATGGCCGTGCTTCAGTCTCGTTTGGACCAACTCGAAATGCAACGGCAGGCCCAGATAAACTCGGAGCATACTCAGTCACTCACCGACATAAATTTTGGCAGCCAGATACGATCTTACGTGCTTCATGTACGCATTTTGAGTTTCGGTTATTAAAATGTTTTACGAAAATTTGGAGTGCTCGATCGACCTCTGATTTCCATTTTTTTTTCTTTTCAGCCGTACAGAATGGTGAAGGATCATAGAACTGACTATGAGGTTTCAGATCCTGATGCCGTCCTTCAAGGTGATATTGACGGTTTCATCTTGAGCTTTCTTTCTGTCTCCTTGGACAAAAACGATGAAGAAGATGTTTGAATTCATAGTGAATAATTTGCCTGGCATCTTCAAGTTTGTCAGAATCGTTTATAAAGTTATTAGGTGAACGCATGAAATTTGTGACAACAAGATACATTCTCTTTTTTTTTTTCTCTCTCTTTTTTTTTTCTTTTTTTTTGCAACTATCTTTTTGAATAGAATAGAAAATATATTTGAATCAATGTGTTGGGTATTTCAATATAATTTGTTTATCCACGACTGTATTTGGTGGCTTGTTTTACTTGGATAATTTGCTTACTATTTCCAAATTTGTTCTCAGAAACAACAAATTCTATAATTATTATAACTACACATTTACATTTGTGCAATTTGCCCCCAAATTCATATTCAAAAGCTTCTATTTGCTGAAATGTATTTTTTGCACTGCGTTTTTGCACATACTGGTAATGCGCTGAACATAAGTCAAAAGGTGATTTTAGAACGAGAAATGAAAAATCCATCAAATATATAAACCACCAAGCACTCAATGCTTCCGTAACTTCAAAGTGCAGGATTTAACAAAGTGGAAAGCAAAAACCACAATAAACTGCAGTACCTACCAAGGATAATTTAGTTCCAACTCTCAAATGTCAAAACCTCCTCACAATATCACATACTCGAGCTCACACAAAAAGAATGGGCTCCTGAAGAACGAAACTAACTCGCTCATAAGGCAACAACCAATTTGAAACAAAACAATTACTCTTCCCAAAACTATGAAAAATGAATCCCAGCCCTATTGAACAACTATGAGCAACAACCAATTTGAAACAAAACAATTACTCTTCCCAAAACTATGAAAAATGAATCCCAGCCCTATTGAACAACGAGAGCAGGTGCATGAAATCCGCTTGCGCCAGCTTCGATGACCTCTTCTCCTCAAACCCTCCACTTTTCAACACCCCCAAAACCTTATTCTTAAAATCCGAACCCTTCACACCATTATTATTACCATTATTATTATCCCCATCATCCATCTCCATCTCGTCATCATCGTCACCCTCATCATTACCATCCACACTCAATCCCCCAAGCGTGTCCCCCAATGCCGACACGCAAGCAGCCATCTCCGCATCATCATCCTCTGGGCGGCGGCCATCTGGCGCCAGCTGTAAAGCTTGCAGCATCTTATAATTCTTCTCGAGCAACGAAAGCACATTCTTTTGCCTGAATATGGAGCCTAAAGTTTTGTTCTTGCGGTTGAAGCAGATGCGGACGAGCCCATCCCACTCCTTGAAGTTGACGGGTGGGAGAGGCTTTCGAGGCTCGATACGGACCACGGACGAGTCAACCTTGGGTGGTGGCCGGAAGTTGTTCCTCCCAACTTTCAGCAAGTGGTTGACTCGGGCAAGGAGCTGGGTGTTGACTGAGAGGCGGCAGTAGAGAGTGTCCCCTGGCTGGGCCACCAGCCGCATGGCAAACTCCCTCTGGAACATGATGACGGCACATCTGAAAAGAGGCCGGTGGGCGAGCAGCTTGAATGTCAGCGGTGATGAGATCTGGTACGGGATGTTGGCCACACATATGTCGAAGTATGGAAGGTCGCATTTCAAGACATCTCCTTGTATCACCTGAGGATAAAATTGGTGGTAAACAAATGGGGCTCCAACTAGTTACTAGTTGTTGTTGTNCTAGTGAAATTTGGATAATTGGCTTCAACTTGATTGCCTTGCCCATTACCGCACCATATTACCAAATATCCTTTTCTTTTCTCTTGTATTGGTAAATCAGCAATAGAGAAGGGAAAAGACGTGTGAACATATGAAACACCTATCATTTATGCTGGTTAAGACTGTTTATCCTTAGGAATTATTCACTAAACAACCAATTGTCTCAGTGTTAGCACCTATCTTGTCGTTTATATGCTTGACTACCGCATTGTAATGTTACAATTTGATCAAAGTGAATCTGAGTACAATGACCTTACTAATCTATTTTCTATGACTGTGTCAATGTTGTATGCAAAACACTATTCAGCAGCTGAGAGTTAATTTCATTTGAGAGTTGTATGTAAAACAATATTCAGCAGCTGGTTAATTTCATTTGAGAGTGCTGGCTCCAAAATTAAAATAAAAGAAAAAAAAAGGGGGCAAACCAACTGCAACAATACTGGCATGCATAGCTACAGACATTCTTGAATAACAAATAACTCTCGAAACAAAATGGAAATAGAAGTATATTTAACTGCGTACCTTCAATCGGTCCGAGTAAGGGGTTCCTTGGAATCGGCGTTGCAGCTCGAGCACCATACGGGGATCAAGCTCAACGGCAATGACGGACTTTCCGGCTTCGAGAAGCTTTTTAGTGAGATTACCCGTGCCGGGACCTATCTCGAGAATAACGTCGGTAGGTTTTATGCCGGATTTCTGAACGATTGAGTCAACCAAGAGAGGGTTTTTCAGTATATGCTGGCCTTTCGACTTGTGAAAAGCAATCCCCCCTTGAAAATGATGATTGGATGCCCCGGCGCCGCCTTTCTGCGCCCTCTCTTTCTTGATTTTGCCTCCCGCCATTGGTAGTGGCAGCCTGCAATATGCATTCACAGCGCTGTGTTCTAGGGGGCCAGATGGTGTATTGAAAAATGACAATCTAGGGTTTTGTTAATTGAGAAAATTCCATTATAGTGCTGAGGTTTTGATTCTACGCACCAATCTAGACGTGGTCAAACCCGGTTTTGGGGTCGGAAACGGTTTCGGACCGGAGTTTGGAGGAATTTGAACCTGTCTGAACATATGCATGGGCCGATTTAAGGACGGTTCAACCCAGTTCCAAGTTGGTTCAACTGATTTTGAACCAGGCCGATTTTTATTCTAAAAATTGGAAAAGTGATGGAGATTATAGAAATTTGATTTAGACTTAGGTTATATATATTAAGTTAAAATTTCAATTAAGTTGAAGAATTTTTTGGTTATAAAGTGATATTTTAACTTATATGTCAATTAAATTGTCTACGTAACACTCTTACATTGGGAATCAAAATCCTCGTAGTTTTCTTACTTTACTTACCTTGATTGAAAGTAGATGGCAGGATTGAACCGACAGTTTAGTAATCCAAGTTGGACGGCTCGTAGTCCTTTTTATTTCCTACGGTTCCACTAATACTAGCAATACTAGTGAAAATCGGATATTTCTTCTTCTTCATCATCTTAGACTGTTAGTATGGCCGTTTGTACCCTCATTTTGGCCTTCTTCTAGTCACTCTGAAGCATATGAGCCTCAAGGTTTTGTGCGTCAACCTTGACCGTCGTGCGTCCAATGTATATCCTCCCTCGTTGAATGATTGTTCAACCACTGCTGTTGAGGTCGGGACAACGGAAATCTCATTGGCCATCAACCATGGAATAGGATAAATGGGAGTCATCTTTGACCACCAATCCAATACGTCGAATTTTTGTGGCTAGAATGGTTCACGAGCAATCGTGAGTATCAAATCGTCGTGACGTAGTGATCGAGCTCATCGTATCCAGTCCTCTTTGCCCTTTGGATCTTAGCGTTTTTGTAGGGATTAAAATTGTCTTCCCACCAGTCACCAAAGTTTTCAGTATCCCGCGTCCTCTATGTTGGGATCTATGAAGATCTCGTTATGTACAAGTCACGAATTCAATAACAAACGTAAACCTATGCGCAGCGGATCTAAAGGTTTGACGTAGAAAACTTACGGCTTAAAACTTTCTGAATCTGACGGGATATATAAGATGGGATGACTAGGAGCAACACATTGGAGTTGTCGAGATCACGAACGGAGGCAGGATCAGCGACTGGAGCTCGCGGTGGTCGCCGACTCGTAGCGGGGTTCGACCATCAGCTAGTCGTGGGTCGCCATCGGGCTCGTCGCTGCGGTTGGCCGTCGGCGGGTCGTGGCTTGTCGGTTCCCGTAGATGATCGCGATGTCTCAGTTACCTTCTACTGTATTACTCAAACACCTCTTCAACTCGTACCGGTGGAGCAACGAGAAGAAGATAAAACTCCAATGAGATCTAGAGAGAGAGGCGAGTCGTGCATGTCATATACACGTTTCTGCTCTTCTATTTTCTTCTCATGAGCTTAATAATGTATATATAGAGCTACAGTAGAGATCCTTAGGAGAATAGGATTAGGGCTTCTTAAGTAATGGACTAACAGTGGGCTAGATTCACTCTTCCAATTCCTTAAATAATATTACAGTCCACTAACATAATATTATTGCACTCCCTTTTTCCATCTCAAATTACGTTTGAGACTCCAATAATAATTAACCGAATTACCTCATCATGTTTAAGATATAATATCCATTAATTAATTCGATTACCGACAATCAAGAATTAATTAATATATTATATTACCAAAGCTAACGCTCGTTCATCACATTATTATTATGCCGAAACTTAATCCACCTGCAGAGTTTAACATAACAATCATTCATGAACTCACTTCGGGGACATCATCAAACTAACGCATATGGTGACCGTAAATATCCTAATAGCACATCATACATAAAACAATATTACCCAAGAAAGTAAGACTATTGATCCAGCAAACTGAATCTCACTCAAGTGAATCAAAGTAATTTTAACCGATGCCTAGTTCTTTTACGACGATCAATATAAAATGAAGTTATCCTCTCTTGGACCCGTTCAATACATAAATGTACTAGTGCAACTAATCAGTCAAGACCAACTGTACAATTGACACTACAACCGTTCTGATGGGGTGTTCATTTCCATCTATATTGTGAACCACAAATTCTTGTTTCACATGTAACTGATAGAATGATCTTCTGTTCACCCGATGATGGCCCATTCTATCTACGTGCAAAACAATAGAACATAGAACTTGTTTAATCGAACATGATTCTCATTCATAAATGGCAAAAGTATAATATCATCCAAAGCTAAGCTTTCAGTATATAACACTAACAATCTTCCACTTATACTTAAAGCTTTCATTTTTACAAGTATAGTCCTATCAATCCGTTATTCTAAAAGACCTATGTCAATCCTATCTCCATACACCTGACTCCCATTCCTTTCACGTGTTTGATGAAGACCTTCTTCGGCAAACTCTTCGTGAAAGGTTTTAACCGGTTTGAATGGTTTTTGGGCGTTTTTGAGACCTAGCGGTTCAATACCTCTAATCGGACTGGTATAGTGGCTGGTTCTCGGTTGAACCGGTCGAACTGGGCGGTCCGGTTTTGAGAACCTTGCTCTTTATTACGCAATAATCGATTCTTACTTGATAACAAAATTAACTGTGATAAAAACAAAAAGTCTTTGGGAGACGTCAGAGCATGCCAACTAAGAGGTCTTGTTCCCACTTGCTATTCACCAAACTTGGGGGTACATAACAAAAACAGGTATTCGACACGCAATTAGAAAACTTTAACACATAAAGAGAAAACTTAACATTCTTAGGCATAATATTTCTTGAGGTGTGCCATATTCCATGGTCTAGGTAAGAGCTCTCTGTGCCGGTCTCTTAGCTCATACACTCCGCCTGCAAATACCCGTTTTACTTTGTAGCCTTCCCAGTTGGGTTGTAACTTGCCCACATGCTTGAGTGCGTCTGTTTGTCACCAGACCAAGTCGCCAACCTGGAACTTTCGGGAGTGCGATTTCTTGTCGTGGGCTTACCTCATTCTCTGCTTATAGGCCTCGGTCCATACGTTGTCTTGGTCGGAGAGTTCATCCACTAGGTCAAGTGTTTTTNNNNTTTCTTAGCTCGGAATTCTCTTCTTCTTAGTATGTAAACACCGTCTGAACTTAGACCTGTCTTGACTGGAATGACGGTCTCCATCCCATATACAAGAATAAATGGGGTCTCTCCTGTAGAATCTCGCGGCGTTGTCTTGTGAGCCCACAGGGCTGAGTCGAGCTCGTCAACCCATGCTCCTAGTGCTCCTTCTAGGCGATCTTTGAGTCCGTTCAATATGGATTTGCTTGCAACCTCGGCCTGCCCATATGCTTGGGGGTGGGCTACAGAGGCAAAGTGTTGTGTTATGCCAATATCTTTACACTATGTCATTATCTTTTGGCCTTTGAACTGGGCTCCATTGTCAGAGACAAACACTCTTGAGATGTCATACCTGCAACAAATGTTATGAAACGAGAACTTGACGACCTTCTCTTTAGTGATTCATGCTAAGGGCTTGACCTCAATTCGCTTGCTGAAATAGTCGATTGTGATTAACAGGAGCTTTCTTTGTCCAGTTGCTTNACCCTCCAGTGTTGAGTTGTTGTATGTGTGAAGGCCGTCCGAGATAGAGGAGGTTGCAGTTCTTTGTGTTATGCCGAGCAGAAACTCTAGTGAAGTCCATTTATAAAAATAAGTAAATAAAATAGTCAAATGTCATAATTTAAATTGTAACACTTTGTAATCATGTAAATATATAATATATCTAAATTTTCAAATGGAGACTAATTAACTAATTATATTGGTTGAAAAAATAAATTAAAGAAATAAATATGAGCAAAAAATAAAAATAAAAATAAAATATTTAAACATGAAAATTTTGTATTTCATAAGGATTAAGTTACTAAACATTAAAATTTAATTATCAAATATTTTAACATTTGGTGCACTTAGAATTATAATAAACGAAGGTAAATAATAAAGGTTAAACGTTGGTCAATTAGCGAACAATATGCAAATTATGAATTGTTAAACAAAATTATAAGCAAAAGATAATTGATGATTTTATAGATACATGTAAGTAATTTTTATGCAAATATCATATGATCTAATATAATGATAATATTTTATAGAATTATAGATAATAAACTTTATATATTAAATAGTCAAAACTTATAAAAAATTAAAAAATAGAAAAAAGATAATAATAATAATAATAATAATAATAATAATAATAATAATAATAAATAGATGAATTTATTGAATATTGTGTTTAATAGAACTGCATATTGTTTTAAATAATTTAATACTCCCTCTTTTTTTAAATAAATGTCGTTTTGAGAAGTTGCACAGTAATTAAGAATAATTTATTTGCCAATAATAACCCTCATTAATGAGGATAGAGATGGATGTTTTGAGAAAAAGGTGAAAAATATAATTATGATTTTTTATTAATATTATAATTTATAAATTCATCAATTATATTGTCGAACCAACTATACTGCCACATAAAATTTTGTTCTTAAAAATTGTTAAACATATATTATTTCAATGGTTTTATTATCAATGTTTTTTTCTTAAGTATTTTTTTAACTTATTGTGATTGTATTAATGTGTTAAAAATGTAATATAAATGATAAAGATGATAAATTATGAAAGTATAATTTATATTTTGTTATTTTGATGATATACTTTTTCAATTATGTCCCCATTATGAAATTATTTTAGATCCGCCAGTGCAATTAGGTTTCTAATGGAACTTCCATTGAAATTGTTATAATTCAATTGACTGTTTTTCCAACGGTTGAAATATGGCCAGAAAAAAATTTCAACGGAAATTCACACAACAATAAATAATGGCAATTGAAATCATTAAATCCATTAAAATTTCAATGTAATTCCATTTGATCTCTGATGGAATAACCAATGAAATTTCCAATGAAAGTTATACCAATGAAATATCCATTGATATTTTTAGTGGAATAACATACTGTTGGATTTTTCCTTGCAATACACCATTTTTTTCGTATTTTTTCTTAAACATTAAAATTTTTATTTTGTTATTTTCCTTATTAATTAAT